CTAGCAGCAATATGCGAGAAGTTTGTAATATTTGGGCCTGGCTGCCTCTTGTTGCTTAGTATTAGAGCCTTCAACTGATCGGCAGCAGGTCTTGGGAGCGAGGGGGGCGCCTCGTTTTCAAGAACTTGAAAGGATTCCAAGTAGCTTGTAACTGGCAGATTATAACACAAGATGTTTCACTGCCAAATTTTCAAGTTGAAAAAAAAAGGGAAAAAATTGGAAACACATGGGTTGCTTTTGATTATGGGGTCTTCCAGTGAGATCTGCATCTAAACTTCACTCACAACAAAGCCTGATTGTCATACCCTTTTCTTACTAAATATCGTGTAAGGATGTAAAAGACTTGGTCAAAATTAACATAATTGGGATTTGAACCTACTATTAACTGAGTAGTGATCGTTTCATTACATTATCATTATAGTTTTCTTTAAAGCTAAATACTTGTGACACTTAAATAAAGTCTTTCATTCATTCATTCATTCATCAGAACTGATCTATTGTAAAAACTGGAAATTATAACATCAAAGTAACGCTTTGAATTTGAAAATGAATCACTTTGCGTTTACATCAAAATGACAGCTCTGATTAAAGGTTTGCCGTCATTGCTTTGAAACTGAAAAACAAGAACTAAAACAGGCAAAAGGAATCGACTTGATATTTCAAACGTAATTATCCTGGTGGCTTATTTTGTTCTTTGCGGCTCAATAGCTCGCCACCTTCATGGTCATTACTCGTTAACGAATACGATGCGGTCTTTTGTTCCTCGTATCTCAAGTATAGACATCACTGTCTATGAGATGAGCACAGATAAATTCCCTGTCACATAAATTAACCACTGACCGGGTAAAATGATTATATAACCACACGTGGAGATTTAATGCGCCCTTGAGAGCACGCGCGCAAAACCATGTCAAAAATCTCCTATCAAAATTTATGCTTTCATCATCAAACGTAACTGTGCTTCTTTTAGTCGATGCAATCCGTTTATTGAAACATTTTGCGTTTTGCTTTGCTTTTCGCCTCCACAACGTTAAAGGTTCAAATAAACACGTGTTTCGCTCGTAGATGAATGCTAATGTATACCGAGTGTAGGGCTTCTTGGAATACATCTCTTTCGATGGCATAGTGGATATCTTTTTCTTTCGCGAGCACTGGAGATGCACGGTCTATACGATTGATCGTATCCCCGGGCTGACCCTCCCAAACTATGCTTTTACTAATTTTTGTCATAAATGCCTGTGGTTGTAAAACGTTTTCGTTTATATTGGGAAAAATTCACATCCTAACAAATAATGTATTGGACCGAAACTTGCCAGGCAAAAATCAAGATACATCAGTCAGGGAAAACTGTGCCTTACAAAATGATGCTCTCATTAAGGACGAAGCGATTTAGACAATATGCAATCTCGTCGCCTACTGAACAATTTGCAATCTTACGACAAGTCTGCGACACGAATTACCTACATCTGTCAGATACGATGCGAAAAAAATGGGACATTTTACATTTAAGGCACGTTTAATTAATGAAACCCTACAACAGTCCTACTGTCACCATTTCATTGTAAATTTCCATTCTTGCATGAAGCGGGCAAAGAGCACCATAAACGGACTGGAAAAGCGCGACAAAGGTGCAAAAACGCGGTCCTTGTACTACAGGAAACGTTTGGAAATTATTGAATACTTCCTGGAAAGATTGAAATATTGATATCAAAGTAACATTATCGCATGCAGCGAGAAAANGTTAAGAGCAGATCATAAGCTTATCACCTTGATCTAGGTGATATGCTTCTGGAGCAGATTCAAAAGGTTTGGCATAAACAGCTCTATAGAAACTATCGTAACAAAAAATAGCACAGGTTGCCAAACAAACAGACAGAGACAGTACAAATCCAAAATTCGACACGAAGAAAAACTCCTTCCGAGTTCATAAATAAAAATCCTTCAGTTTATTTCTAATCATTCGTTAGAAAATGAAATGTTTTAAAATCGAAGGTAAGATTAATTGAAACCCTTAAAACTACCCCTGAAAGAAAGAAACCATACCGTACAATGTAAAGTCCTCCTTCATCCTTTCTAGTCTGAAATTGGACGGCGAAGTCACCTCGAACGTTTTAATCTTATCCCTCTTGAAATCAGTGGTATCCTGAACAGCGCTTGCCCTTCCACTGAGTCTTAATACTTTTTTTAAAATGGTTCATTAAGCAAGGACGTTGATTGTTCCACATCTTGCATTTGCTGATCTTTAAGGCGGGCCTGACTTGCAACTACAGAAGGAGTAAGTCCTTGCGTTCTTGACCAATTACAAATTAGTTCATTTTTGTCAGTACATTCTATCCAAGACATTCTACAGATTTTTATCCGGAGTTTAAAGAATTTCTTTTTAAAAAGAAAAGTATAATCCAAGGTTCAGGAAGAAAACTGAGAGAATCTACAGTTTACGTGATGCTATGAAAATTACCTGTCATCGATCAACAGAGATGTAATAACAAACATCAAGAGAATTGCGATCCAAAACTTGTTCATCTTGATACACTGTGTAAAAAGAAAATAATAATAATTACATTTGTTGTTTACCCGTCAACAGTTATTACTTTCGTTTCTAAGTGAGAAAGTTTTACTCATGGGACACAGGAATGTTTTTGAGCATATTAAAAAATGAACAGAAATGACGTGATCCTCAATTTTCTTCTTACCTTATTGGCGTTTAGTGAACAGCAGAGAGTACTTCTTCGATCACTGAAGTAATTGCAACTGAATACAAGCTGAGCTGACGAGTTATTTATATTGCCTGATTTAGTGTTATTATAAAACAGTTAATGATTTAGTGACAACCATATGCTACTCATAAATTACGAGTCCTTGTTCAATCATCTTGCCAGCCAGAAATAGACTTCTGTGTTGTGCATTTCTCGGCAACTCTGAAATTCATCGTCACTTTTAATTAATAAACCAAAGCGGGTAGCACCTAGTTGTAAAATTTGTCACAGATGTTTCCTTGGTGAGAATATCACCGTAACATCTGACCAAGTAGAATGAAATCAAATACTATGACTAAATTGTTCAATGGTCTTTTCGTCATGCGCAAACATAATTTGTCTGAAACACCTAACAGCAGCAACGAAGTTCGTGATTGTTGCATTTAATTGATGAACAAAAACATCATTTTTGTGTATTGCCGAGTTGTAAAGTGTATCGCAGGTGTGTATGGTGAGACTACCATCAACTATCTGAAATTACCTCGGTTGTGTGTACAGACCTCACTGCGTTCGGTCTGTACTCGCGACCTCGGTCAAAATTCTCCCATACAGACTTCCTACCCAGTTAATAAGAGTTAAAAAAAAAAAAATGGTAACAGCGAGAAATTAAGACTTAAGATTAGGATTATGATTCAAACTTTGACCAAGCTTAACTGGCGTCAATGTTTGATAAATTAGGGCTTGTTGTTCAATCATCTTCTTGTCAATCACAAATACTTTCTTGTGTTGGGCATTTCTCGGCAACATTGAAATTTAAGGCGGTCACATTTAATTGAAAAACAGTGCTAGGCGTGTATCGCAGAGTTGTATATTTTGTCACAAGGGTGTCTCATTGTTGAGAATACCACCATAACATCTGTCCGAGTTGAATATTAATGGAATCGAATACCAGGACTAAACCACGGTTTGTTGTTCAATCGTCTTCTTGTTAAGAGCAAACATAATTTGTGTGAAGCACCTGTTTTCATGGATCAACGAATTCGAAGTTCGCGATTGCTACATGTAATTGATGAACAAAGACATTTTTTGTGTAGTGCTGAGTTGTATGTAAAAGTGTATCATCGAAGGAGTGTAGCCATTGAGAATACTGGCACACTATCTGAAATTATCTGGTAATTATGCATGTTCCTTTACGAAAATTAGAGGAAAATGTGGTCTGTTTTTGGCTAGAAGGAACAGAATCCGGACTGATATATAGTTTTTTTTATTAAGCAACACCAGTAGCTTGCTATAGACTCAGTTACTATTTTGCAGATGATACAAAGACAAATATACGAGTAAAGCAATCAGTAAAACATCTAGTGCACAGAAAAAATAACGAGTTAAAAATTGACACCAGAATGGTAATATTTTGACATACTTTCACTAAACAAACTTCATCGATGCCCTGTGCTCCTGATATTCATTCTTCAACTAAAAACCTGCGTTCTTAAAAAAATTTCAAGTTATCAACTTAATGGTTGATAAGTTTTGCTCTTTAAAAACGTTTTATGCAATTTAATTGCATATTTTGGGTCATTCCGCGATATATTGTATATGGAAGTTAGCAAAGAGAAGTTTCGATAATCAGAGGGGACATTGTTTCTATAGCTAGCCCAGTATGATAAACTAATACTCGAACTTCACTCAGTGAGAGTTTGCTATTTGTGTTTGATTATGTGCTATTTAACCCTATAGAAGCAGTTTTTGCTGATATTTAAAATCGTCTATAAGGAAACTAACCATCGTGCCCAATTTGGATTGTTGTAAAATTAAACTTGACCATTTCTGCGGCGTGATCACCACAACACCATCTCAATAAGCATGGGTAAGACTTGTTTGCAAAGTTATAATAAGTAGTCTCAAAACATCTTTAAACATTTCATCAAATTGCAGCACTTTCATCACTTTGTCCAAGAGAAAGTTAAAAGTCTCCCTTTTGAGATAAAGATTGAATCGAAGTCCAAACTCTTTATTGTAGATAGATATTTTAAACTATTTGGGTTACAGGCTACATTCGGTGCACACCCTGCCTGTGAGAGAAGGGATATCATTCATCGCAACGATTAAACCCACATTGATATACAATATCCCTTCATCTTCCTGTGCGCTTAACAAATTGACATCAGTTTTTCATGCGTCTGTCCTTTTATTGATCATGAATTATAAGGCCCCGAGGTTAAAACCTCTCCACCAACCCACCCCTCTCCCTCCTCCTCCCCCGCCCCCCTCCCACCCAGCGAGGATTTGTAGGCCCATCTGTATCCCAAAAGAAAAACTATTCCGGTCATTTATTATCCCCACTTGAATATAAGTTCCCTTATAAATGTTTGATACCGGATACAAGGTGTTCTTGATATAAGCCCCTCCCCTCATTTATAGGTTCCCTACACACCTAAAGCTACTAAAACCCAGGGATTGTAATATGAAGTTAAAGGGGCTCTAGAAGCCCTAGAACGTTTTCCTTGACATTTTGTTTGCTTTCATTTGTGGAGCTATGGCCGTTTGCGGGTGTGTTATCAGTAGAGGGCCCAACAGAGCTGACGCGCGCTATGGCAGCAAACAATTTCTTGTACTCTTTTCGGAAGTTATTATTCATGACACCATAAATGACTGGGTTGATAGCACTGCTTAAGTACCACAGGCAGGTAGCAAAGATGAAGACCTGGAACGATGAAAGAAACTTCATGTTAGCTTTAACGGCCTGACTTGTAAATTGATTTACGGGAGAAATTCAGTGTATTTAACGATTTTTCAAGGTAGCTAGATCGCTAAACGTGGCTGAGTGAAGAGAAAGTCATGGGTTGCCTTAAGCCGATCCAGTAATGGTAAATAAAAATTTACCAGAAACTAAATTTATTCCAGCGAAGTTATTGCTGATACGGGTAAATTTACATCGGATGTGTCATCAGTACCCTTTGCAAATAAGATAAAAACGATGCATTGAATACGAAATTAGATATTTTCTTTTGAAAAGTGTAGAATTTAAATACATTTGAAATTAATGTGTTATGAGCCATATATAAAAAAAAAGACTATCAACTTTTACATGTAAATTTTGGAGGCTACTATTTGTTTCCCAACTTACGTTCTCAGTTCAACAACCAGACTATAAAACTAGCAGCAATATGCGAGAAGTTTGTAATATTTGGGCCTGGCTGCCTCTTGTTGCTTAGTATTAGAGCCTTCAACTGATCGGCAGCAGGTCTTGGGAGCGAGGGGGGCGCCTCGTTTTCAAGAACTTGAAAGGATTCCAAGTAGCTTGTAACTGGCAGATTATAACACAAGATGTTTCACTGCCAAATTTTCAAGTTGAAAAAAAAAGGGAAAAAATTGGAAACACATGGGTTGCTTTTGATTATGGGGTCTTCCAGTGAGATCTGCATCTAAACTTCACTCACAACAAAGCCTGATTGTCATACCCTTTTCTTACTAAATATCGTGTAAGGATGTAAAAGACTTGGTCAAAATTAACATAATTGGGATTTGAACCTACTATTAACTGAGTAGTGATCGTTTCATTACATTATCATTATAGTTTTCTTTAAAGCTAAATACTTGTGACACTTAAATAAAGTCTTTCATTCATTCATTCATTCATCAGAACTGATCTATTGTAAAAACTGGAAATTATAACATCAAAGTAACGCTTTGAATTTGAAAATGAATCACTTTGCGTTTACATCAAAATGACAGCTCTGATTAAAGGTTTGCCGTCATTGCTTTGAAACTGAAAAACAAGAACTAAAACAGGCAAAAGGAATCGACTTGATATTTCAAACGTAATTATCCTGGTGGCTTATTTTGTTCTTTGCGGCTCAATAGCTCGCCACCTTCATGGTCATTACTCGTTAACGAATACGATGCGGTCTTTTGTTCCTCGTATCTCAAGTATAGACATCACTGTCTATGAGATGAGCACAGATAAATTCCCTGTCACATAAATTAACCACTGACCGGGTAAAATGATTATATAACCACACGTGGAGATTTAATGCGCCCTTGAGAGCACGCGCGCAAAACCATGTCAAAAATCTCCTATCAAAATTTATGCTTTCATCATCAAACGTAACTGTGCTTCTTTTAGTCGATGCAATCCGTTTATTGAAACATTTTGCGTTTTGCTTTGCTTTTCGCCTCCACAACGTTAAAGGTTCAAATAAACACGTGTTTCGCTCGTAGATGAATGCTAATGTATACCGAGTGTAGGGCTTCTTGGAATACATCTCTTTCGATGGCATAGTGGATATCTTTTTCTTTCGCGAGCACTGGAGATGCACGGTCTATACGATTGATCGTATCCCCGGGCTGACCCTCCCAAACTATGCTTTTACTAATTTTTGTCATAAATGCCTGTGGTTGTAAAACGTTTTCGTTTATATTGGGAAAAATTCACATCCTAACAAATAATGTATTGGACCGAAACTTGCCAGGCAAAAATCAAGATACATCAGTCAGGGAAAACTGTGCCTTACAAAATGATGCTCTCATTAAGGACGAAGCGATTTAGACAATATGCAATCTCGTCGCCTACTGAACAATTTGCAATCTTACGACAAGTCTGCGACACGAATTACCTACATCTGTCAGATACGATGCGAAAAAAATGGGACATTTTACATTTAAGGCACGTTTAATTAATGAAACCCTACAACAGTCCTACTGTCACCATTTCATTGTAAATTTCCATTCTTGCATGAAGCGGGCAAAGAGCACCATAAACGGACTGGAAAAGCGCGACAAAGGTGCAAAAACGCGGTCCTTGTACTACAGGAAACGTTTGGAAATTATTGAATACTTCCTGGAAAGATTGAAATATTGATATCAAAGTAACATTATCGCATGCAGCGAGAAAACACTGAAATGTTAAAAAACCTTATAGGAACAAACTTGTATTTTCTTCTTCGTGATATTTGTTGCCTATCTATTAGCTGGGTTCCTGAAATATTCAATTTCACAAAAAAACTTGATAAATTATCCTGGTGGCTTTTTTTTTAATATTTCTGTATCTGCTTTCTTGGCATTGAATTATAATAAAGATAAGGAAACGTATTGAAAATATATTCTTCTTCCTGCATGCACTGTCCTGCATTTTTCTTTTCACATTTTGAATAACTTTGTTAGTATGTAGCGCGAAAGTTAACTGTTTGGGGTCTCCTGTCAACGAAAAGTTTTTTTTATGTTTTTTTTTTGTTTTTGTTTTTTTTTTTTCGGACAGTTTGTTTACTTGCTTCTTACTTACCAAAATTAGAAAAAGCAGCTTCAGACTAAATTAAACAAACGAATACGCTTGTTACAAGTTAAATGGAAAGTTCGAATCCTTGGGGTAGTGGAGAAATGCTTGTCTGCTTACCTGACGAGGAAGAAGAAGTGGATTAATCTTGTCCATCGTGTCCATCACTTCTGACGGGATCCAGCAGATGGTGAATGCAAAGATGATGGCTGCTACTGACCTGGCCACCGATGCTTCCTCAGAATAGTTGCCAGCTCGACTGGTTTGGCTCAGATTCGGGGCAACGGCTGCGTTGTGTCGCTTCACGGTGCGGAACACCTTCCAGTAGCAGACCACGATCACTGCGTAGGAGAGGACGAAGGAGCCATAAAGCCAGGCGTTGAACGAGACAATAGCAGCTGGCGCCATCATTCGCCTCCAGCACAGTAGATACCCCGGGCAGAAGAAGAAGTCATCCAGGGACAGGATATTGGGAATGCCATTGGTGATCAGGGATATGGCCCAGATTGCTGAGATCAGCAGGAGCGTTTTCTTTTTAGTGAAGATCTTCCTGTAGAGGTTTTGCTTCTTAACACACACGTAGCGATTGAAAGCTGTCAAAGCCATGATGAAGATGGAGACCTGAGCCAGAACGGCCATAGCGAAAGCGTGCGCTTTACAGACGGCGTTGCTGAAACGCCTTTTGCTGTAGATGGCAGCGTCAACTGTTAGCGGCATCACGGTCACAGAAGTTAACAGGTCCGTGAAGGCCAGCGCAAAAATTAGCATAGTTGTGGGAGTGTGAAGTCTGTGATTGCGGTAAACGATACAGCACAGCATAGCATTCCCCACCAGCGAGGCCACATTGATGATTAGGAGAACGGTGGACTCGATCACAACAGTTGGTTTGCTTCTGGCCTCGAGTTGCTCTTGCAACAGAGCCAGCACATCGACACTAGCGTCTCCCGGGTCAATGTTGTTCATGATTAAACTGCGAACTGTGTTCGAATTGGCCCATCAATAATTAGCAGCGATTGTAGATTTGAAGACTGGCACTGAACTACAAATAAAACTGGGTTAAACTAAGTGAGCTTTATGGTCATCAAAAGATTACGTGTAAAATCATTAATTGTACTGCTACCTTTAAACCTGGGTTTGATTGGCTTGAAGTGGATCGATTTATTCCAAATTCTATTGATTCTATAGATTTGAAGACCTTTAAAATGCAATTAGAACTGGGTACAGGTTTTTACACCAGAGAGCCTTGATTATTATCTTGAAAAGATAATAGGTAAAATCGTCTGTTATACTGCTACCTTTAAACTTGGTTCTGATTGGTTCGAAGCGGATCAATTTATTCCAAATTCTACAGCCGAGATAGGAAAATTCATTAGCTGACCAGGGAATTCTATAGGAAAATTAAACTCTTTAGGAAAATTCATTACCTGAAGAGGGAATTCTATAGAAAAATTCATTACCTGACCAGGGAATTCCACATTAAATTTCTCGCGAAAAAACCAATATCGCACGATATGGATGAGCGCGATATCGGTTTTTCAAATGGAATTTAACGTGGAATTCACGAGTCAGGTTATGAATTTTCCATGAATCGCATGGTCTTCTTCTCAAATGAAAGAAAACCCCTTTCATTTACATCTGTGCGAATGTTGCAGTATTCAACGCGCGTGGGAGAGAAACCATGTCTCTCCAGAAAGTTGTATTTCAGGTCAAGGCAGGGAGAAACTTGAATTCCACTTTCAAATAGACTTTGGTTTGTTTTTAGCTTCGTGGACGGCGAAAATGGTTTTAAAGGGACACAGTCAGCTTGGGACCGCACTGACATGGAAACTAGTTTTCTCTCTTTGGAAAAAGTTCACCTCAACCTGAAATCAAATTACATCCAGAAATCCGCTTCAATCTTCGCAGTGTTTTGCTTGATTTCCAATCGTTTACTGAGAAGCCTGTTTTTGAGTGTGCTTTTGCTCATCGTATGCTACTATTTTTATCATATTTGATTGAAAACAGTGTGGATCGCATGTCTGTGATATGCAAATTAGCTATGAAATGGTATCTAATGCGCATGTGCTCCAGCTGACTGTGTCCCTTTAAAGGTTACTGTTTCTAATTGTTTTTCAGTTGCTGTTTTGTTGTCGCTAAAGTGAAATATCACGCAAAGCCTTGCTTTCAAAAGTCGCAAGTCCACGCTGAATACCTCACCTAGGTAACCAATCAGGGTGCGAGAATTCTCTGAGCTAGAAGATTCTATCAATGACTGAACAGTTAAACTTGAGTTGTTTCGGTCGCATTTGAGCATTGCAGTCAGCGCGCTCTACGTAATGAAAGTGAAACTCACGTAGTTTAAGGCTTGAGTCAAAGGCTTTTACTGGTGATAATAATTTATTAGTTATATTTCTGAAGGTATAAATGGCAATAGAACCAGATTTAGCACACAGTTAAGTTTTGACGTCCTGAACATTTTAAAGTAGAATTGGTACTTCTGACAGGTCACGTGACGTGTCACGTGACGTTTAACGGAAAATAACCGTTATTTGAGGAATTGGTGGCGGTTTTTAGTAATAACATCCTGCAAAAACGCATTTTGAATGCAGGTCAATCATTTCCATCCTCTCGCGTTTGGAGTGACTGTCCCACTTTTCACAGTAAAATTTATAGGGTGAAAGGTCCTTTTTTCAACAAAATTCGACTTTTGATCATTTATATCTTCTATAAACGAAATCAAGGGAGATCATTCCAAACGTATCAAGGTAGATAATTTAAATTTGCATCGGAAATGCTCATTTATTGATCAATAAAATGAAAATTCGCCACCAATTCGCCGATTTACCAAATTTTAACAAAATGATCACGTGACATGTCACATGGTCAAAATAATATGTTAAGGCAAGGCACGATGTCGACTTTTATAATCAGGGAAACGTTCAGCTTGGTAAAACGAATATAACAAGAGATATAGCTGCCCAACCATAATTCTACTTTACATTCCTGACCCAGGCCTTAAACTGCTTGAGAACACGTCCCAGATAAAACTTCCAGGTTTGCCGTTTCAGGCAAACATAAACCTACTTATGAAGAAGCAGCAGTAACCAAAACACACAAAAAAATCAACTGAAACTTCCACAAAGCTTAAGTTTTTAACCAAAGGAATTGAACGTGATGCTGCAAACTCGAGTTTAGCACGTCTTCGTGGCTCGTTTGCGAAAGAAAGAAATTATTTTACGAAGACCCTCGGCAAAAAGTGTCGAAAGAGTTTAATTAAAGAGAATTAAAATATTTAATCACAGCGTGAGTTCACTTTAGCAACCCTCTAATATATATGATTTAGGCAAGCCTGAAAGCGGAGCTCCTGGGCCGGGTTTTTTAAAGTCCCATTAAGCTAACTCAGGATAAGAAAGAATTTTGATCAGTGAGATTTTTAACTTTGCGGTGAGGTTTTCTGCATATTAAGTTTGGCCTTCTGTTTTTAGTTTGAATAATCTCAAAATGCACAAAAAAATAGCGGTGAAAAACATTTGTACAGAAGAAAAAATCATAATTTGGTTAACTTTTAATCTCGGCCTGGGTAGGCGTTAACTGGTTTCCGAACAACCCAGCCCTGTTTGCAACAAGTTAACCTGACATGAGCTCGCGATACAATCGAAAATCAGCACTTGGTCAGCAGTCAACTTAAAAAACACGTGACCTCGATAAGCTCTAGCCCTGAGCCGCGATATGGTCACGTGGTATTGGTCAGCGGATATCCTGTTTTGACAGGTGTCGATTGACCATAACATGGATGTCGAATATCAAATAAGGACGCTACAAACCAAGGCTGCATGTCACTGTCAACCTATTAGCTGGAGTATGGCCGCCATCTTGCGCGACTCCGCCGCCGTTGTCGTCGTCGTCTTGCGTACGCGCCCACGAGCAACACCGCTAGCCATGGTAACAATGAAAACATCTATGCATGGGTTTCCTTTGCTTTCCTCTATGGGTGTGGTGCTCCGCTATAATGAAAAGACGTCAGATTCTCTGTAATTACGGTTGCCGTATTATTAAAAAGTAATCGGTCTCTTTTACTCGAAACAATCAAGGATTAATTGTACTTGTGAACATTTTGTGCTTTTTTCTAATTTCCACCATTGTCTGCGGCAGCTTAATCCCTAATGGTTTCTCAAACAAACCGATTTCCTACTTAAATTATGCGCGACCGTGACTTCAAAAAGCAACCATATGTATCGGTAGAAACTGGCAAAATTGTGAAGGTGCAAGGAGTGCCTAAAGTGGAAATCATTCAAATATATATACGAAAAACCTTCTTCCAGTTAAAAGGGATGTGGTTTTGGTGCCTTCACACTAGAGCTTGTGAGTATAATCTAAGTGCGCTTGTAACCTACTTTGAGTGTGAAGGGGTAAAATGCACTCACTTAGTAACCAAGGAAACTCTCGTAGTTCAAAGAAGCCGAAGTGCGCCGCCCCAAGCATGGTCTACACCACACTTGAGAACACACTTGACCAATAGGGAATGGAAGCCAACTGAAAGCGGTGTGCAGCGATTCTGGCGAACAGACCGATAAACAACTTGCAAGCTGAGATCGATCGAAAAATCCAAAATGTATGGCTTGAGTTTGGAGGACTCCATGGAACAGTCTGTTTTAGTATAAATCTACTAGCGTTCTATCACGAATGCCGTTCTCTGATTGGCTACGCTACTCACCATCTATTCTGTGAATAACGTGGTAGTGGGTGGCAGTGTGCGTTTGTTAACAAAATGACGGCCGCTTCTTGGCGTTTTCGAAGTGTTTGTGAAGGGGATTTAGATAAATTCATGAAGATTTATACTAAAACAAGTAGATTATTCGCTCTCGATCTCCATGCGTGATAGAAATCTCGAGCTCATAATCTAATTGCTTAATATAAGCATACGTAAAAAGGAAAGACAAGTCGATTCAATTTGTTAAACTGATAATCTTATTTAGTTGACTTTCATTTTCAAAGACAGCCTAACCCATCGCTCTCATATCATCCGGCACCAAATACCGTTTCAAGTTTCAACCAGGTCATTTCTTTGCACCCGAACAACTCCTTTGACCATTGGACGAGTCACACGGAAATTCACCATTTTCCACAGCGGATCCATGTCTCGGTTAGCTCAAGTCCTACCCGTTGTTGAGCCATTCTAGAGAAATAAGAAGATGCCGCTTGTCCTGTTGTATTGCTTCCACGCACTCGTTAACAACAAAGCACCTATGTGTATTTCTTGTATAGTTAAAACCCCTTGAGTGAAAAGAAACGTTCTTTACGGACGTACTTAGGTACGTTCGCTTGTTCGTTCGTTCGTTCGTTCGTTCTCGTGTTCGTTCACGTGTTCGTTCGTTCGTTCGTTAGTTCGTGAAGACGTAATTACGATATTCTCCTACGATATCCTCTCTTGACTGGGGTTAATTGACTTCCCACGATAAAACTTATGAACGTGATTGTATATATTTTTGCAGCTGACAATGAGACATTTTGATAAATATCTGAGTCATTCTCGGGAAAGTGAATGTGTTCATTTAAAGAATTGTCTTGGTAAGGAGACTTTTCTTTTGGCCGGTCTAAGTTGCCGAATATCAGCGCTTTGTTTTGCTCCTGCAGAAAGGCTCCACCCGAGACAAGACGAGTAAAGAAAGGATGAGTTGAAGGCTACAATCTCTACCATCAACACTAAGAAAGTCGAGTGATCCTGACCACCACCAGTTTCTGGTCACAATAGCTAGGACTAATATTAAAAAAATGTCTGAAATGATCTGGATTACACTTCAATACGCTGCATGCGACGATATTTATCCTCAATTGCAACGATCGCCTCTAAAGCCTCTGTAAAGTAACGAACATTCTACAAAGAAGTTAATTTAAGCGCTGCATGAAAAATAGTCCCGACACTGAAACTTAGAAGTCCTTAGGACGAATCTTCATTCCAGAGCTCTTAACGACGTAACTGTGCCAATAAATGAATTTACTGGAGTACACAGCATTGAGGTTTGAATGATCGCAATTGTTGTGCCACCAGGCTCCTTGCCGCTGAGAGACACAGTTGTGGGACGACTTGTCATTATCGCGATCTTTGGTAGAAAATGCTGAACCACTATGATAGGTGAGGCCATCGCCAGCAGCACCTGAATGAATAACAGAGATGAATGAAGGTGGGCACGAACACAGCATGTAATGGCATCCACATCAGCCCGCGCGCAACATATACCGGTAGCTGTGATGTAATTGCGTTTTGCCTAGCAGTTTTCATTCAGAAAGTTAGCCAATTCAACAGAAAAGCTCACCTGAATATTTCCCCACACTCATCTGGTATTTTCCACTTTCTCTCGCTACAAAAAATGAACTGTACTCTGCAAATGATGTTTTTCCATTCCTGTCTTCCAAGTCAACACGAAGCTTGTTACTGCTGCTCACGGTCAGGCGGTGAATCTTGTCCAGTTCGAGCCAAAACTTGCCGTTCAGATTGCCGAAGCCCCGTTTGTAATCATCCCACGCGAGGTAGAAATCTACAGAACCGTCAAATCTCTTCTGAAACACTGTCCATCCCCCACCCGCTGTTTTGTGATCACAGAAGACTTTAAATCCACCAAAACCATCAGGATCGATTTTGTACACTCCACTGATCTTGTGACCGGACTTGTAAACTTCGGCACAGTCTTTGTAAACTGTAGACATACAAATTTAAGTACCTCGTTTTCTGTTGAGCACGCTTGAAAGTTGACAAAGTTTTACAAAGTTCCATTACAAACCTTTCATTGTGTTTGTTTCTTCTTTGAGTGCGGTCACCTGCTGGTTCACTTCAGCAAACATATTTTCGATTTTCTTGGAGTTTGAACCTGCGATGAAGTAATTGTTATTGAAATTATAAGGTGAAACTTTCTTCGCATTGTTTCCACTTTGTGTTGACGAAAACGCCGGGTTTGAATTACCAAGCGCCGCTACTATGCATCCTAACAAGATAGTCTGAAAGAAATATTTCATCATAGATAGGTGTTTGCGAATTTGTTATGAAACGGTACCTTAAGCTACGAGTTTGAATGAATCCAGGCTATGCAAAATTATTGATGGAGTATTTATTGCTTGAATTCTTCAGGCAAGAGTTTTCGTGTCTCGATCTTTTGTCAATGGAGTACACTTTTCACCAATCGGCTGACTCCACATTTCTTTGGAACTACTTGAATAAGCAATGACTGTGAAATGTAAATCGTCATGAAAAACATTACGCAAATTGACCGCATTTTGTTTCCAGGACATGGCCCAAGGATTAACCCCTTCATTATAGAAGATCACGCAGTGCCCAGTACGGTTACCCACCGGAGTGAACGATATCGCATTTATATTTACAGAGATAGTGTTTCGAAACTTTCTACCGGAAGTTTAGATTCCGATTAACAGTCTCTCTTCCGACGCCGGTTTTTATCTGTCAAGAGGGTCTTCTTCCATAAAATTTATCGTGGACGCTAACTTGTCACTTCCCGCTCGTGAGGCGTTTCACATATAACCTTAGGGGCTGCATGATGTACACTGATTGGTTAAAAAAAACTCTCGCACCACTTTTTCAGCCAATCAGAAGTAAAATCAGAACCAACTGCGTCCGCTCACACACAGTAGGGAGTTTACGAAACCACGACGGCAACGGCAACGGGAACGTCACTGAACAAAAGAATTAATAGCAGAACAATGGCTGTGCACGTGCGTTATAATCCTTGGTACATTTCTTTNAAATTTTTATTTCAAATTTATCGCTGTGTTCCGGATTTAGTTTTGCGATAGTTTTGACAGTGATAAACAACGTAAATGACTTTAGAGTATCGCGAAATTTGTAGGTAAAATATAAATCCATTTTTTTAATCGACGTTGTGCTCGGCGTCGCCGTCGTGGTTTCATAAACTCCCTAGTTTCCCGCGCTCAGCGCCGGTCAGTTGTAAACATAAATTGTTGACACTAAATCGCACATTGAGAGAATTTATTCAGGAATACAGGTTTTACAACTTTATTCTGAAATTCTGAGTTTTCTGAAAAGCTACCTCTTACACCTAAACAGTCAAAATAAACGCTAAAATGTCCTTACACCTAACTAGAACAAGTTCTAGACAATGTAACAACTCTTCCCTCTACATATTGGCATTGGTTCAGTAGGTTAAATTCCCTACTTAGCAAGGAAATAAATTATATAGAGTACATTGTCTTACAACGTATTAGTAAGATAGGCAAAAATAGTCTTTCACATGTAAATACGCAAAAATAATCTTTCACAAGTAAACTATGTAGCCATCAGGGTAAAAGATAAATTAAGGTTACTTCAAACCTTCGCGGGACTACATTGGTCAATATTTTTTGGTCAAGAAAATTAAAATCCGCGAAGCTCAAGTTTGCATACTGTGAAAGCTAGGGGTTCTGTTATTTCATTGGCTCGCGTCTTTTCAAGTTACCACATTCCTCTGTGAAGGCGTGATGTGTTTATAAATCTTTAGAAGGCGAAAACTCGCACTCGTTTTTCGAGAGAATCCCTTCTCTTTAAATGAATTAATAGGGTGTGCAGATTTGACGGTTTTCCATGAAATTTGGTCAGAACATTCACTGATAGATATGGAACAAGAGCGTGTCGGCGATTTCCCTTATTTTAAA